GTTCTCAGGCACCTCGCTGATGATGTAGACCGCCAGATCACAGGGGATCGAGGTAAGGTGAAAGCTGACGTCTAATGAGACCATGTCCTCCTCTTTGGTGGGTTAAATTCTCTTGAGACGCTCGAGGAATAAAGTTGTTGAGCAGACCATCGTAGCTGCGTCCGAAGACATTGGCTTGACATTTAAGGAAAAGCCTTTTAGACCGATTAAATATAGATGCCCGTGTAATGTCACGATTGGCCGGAGGGGAACACCGACTTTGTGCCCGTTCGGTAGACCGCAGTACCTTACTGCGGGTGCGTCTGCTGGTTTGATGGCCAATTATACCTACTTGGGGATCGCCCTCAGTTGTACTACGGTGAACCTCTTGTGCCTTTGCACCACCAGCTTCCTCACCGTTGCTTGACTGTTCCAGTAATCAACTGTGATATAAATGAGAGTTCATAGAAGTGCCAGAGTTAAAACAGAGCTTAAGCTAGTTTTGTTGAAGATCAAGGAGGTTTTTAGCCTTGGGGGATTGTCTCTCCCATCATAGTGTTTAACCGATAGTTGGTTAGCAAGAAATGTTTCTGTAAATGTTGCGGACTGCAGTCGAAGAGTGAAAACACATGAAACGATACAATGGCGTTGTTCAGATTTGACCCCGCGTTGTTAATGATTTGAAGAAATTAATGCGTAGGAGCCGCTGTTATTGGCGAACCTTCTTCTAAAAAAGCAAGGAAACTGTGCATACGCCTTAATAACCGTATATCTGACTGTCGCGAAGGTAAATGACGGGCAAACAATAGACCATAACAACCAGCCGTGGCTTATTCAGTGAGATTCGTAAAAAAAGCAGTGGCTGCATATGACGGCCTCTTCCTTTCGGTTATTTATATGGCATCAGTTTATCCGAATAACTTGTTATTTCTTTTGTTGACATGACCTACATTAAAGTAATGCTGGTCATCGGGCAGGCTCCATGCCTTTTTTAAGACCTCTAATCTTGACTTGGAAAACGGCGCAAAACCACAAGAGTCGGCTTAGACAACAGAAATCTGAAGTCTGGAGGGCCATTAGCAACAATATAGGGGACTTCGAGGTGGTTTCTATATTGTTTTGACTCACTAAATCTCGCCTCTCCGAAGCAATATTTACTCGCAACCCAGGTATACACCGCCACTCACTGAAACCTCAGTTATTATACGAAATTTGTTGGACTGAAGAGGGAGTACAACGACCTTGGGGGAAATGTGCGGCAATTGCAGACTCACTCACAGGCGTACACACCGGCAACTTCGAACTTCACTCAGCATATAAATTCTTGCGTCACTCAGACCGTGGAAACAATGCATCCCGAATAACAAACTGTATGCGCAATGGACCTCCCCCTCAAAAATGTCTCGTACCATGACACTTTTCAATAAATCTCTACAACGATTCTTTAGCAGCCTTTGTTCCTATGATTCACTATTTCATGGTTAACGGTGTAACAGTTTCTGAGAAGATTCAAAATCGCATGTTGTCGCAAAAGGATTATTATGTCAGCAATAACAAATCAATAATCCATAACCACAACAAAATCGTGCAACACCTGAGCTAATAGAAATAAGGTTCATTAAGGCCACCAACAGACAATATATGGCCACGTAGCTGACTTTTATTTTGTAACAGAAAAGTAAATATACTCAGCCATGCAGTCAAATGTTATGCTGTATTAACTTGTTCGGTTATAATACCAGCTTGATATTTTCTTTCCTGATTTTAAGGCGTTTAATCAAGAGCACAAATCGGCCAATCGGAAGCTAGAACCACCACCTCAGCTTACAGCGTACGTCGGAAAATCCGCATTATTCTCATTTTTCAGCGATTTACCATCTAAGGCCGGGCAACTCAAAAGCGGAAGGTAGTAAACTTGACGCATGGTAATTAGGCATATTGACCTTCATTCAGCTTATATATTCCTCAATTACCCAAACCGTGGAAGGCTCTATTATGAGTGACAAACGACCTGCCTAAGGGGCAACTTCCTTGCAAATGCCTCATATTACAATGCCACTCAATAGGTCCCTAAATTGATCCCTTAGCAATCCTCGTCCCTAGGTTTCAAATGGACAAAGGATCGAAGGTTTATATCCTGTTTTTTAAGATTCAACAATTGTCTGCTGTCCTAAAGCCTTTATATTGTCAAATGTAACATAATACCAATTAATTTTCATCACTGAAATCTTCGCGACGGCTACATTTATCATTCTTCAGCGATCTTCTTCTCATCGTTTGAATATTATATGGACAAAATGTGTGCCTCTTGTTTCTTATAAAGTAAAACAATTGTTTTATATCCTGAAACCTTTATTTTGTCAACAATAACAAAATGATAATTCATAACCATGCAAAAACCGCGACAACACCTAAGTTGAGAGAAAAAACGAATACGTTCACAGAGGCCACTAGTAAACAGTAGTATAGTGAAAACAAGCTGACTTTTACTCTGTAGCTTATGACAACTGAAATAAAATTACTTGTGTTAACAGAAACTCCTGTGTACTTGACAATTAAGTAACACGGTTTTCACTAGGCTTTTGTTTAGTTCAAAATGTATTGCTATTTTCGTTCACTATTTTTAATGAGTTTAGCAGTGATTAAAAACAAACCTCCAGTCTAGAATATTCAACCAAGTAATCCCTTCAACGCAGTCTTGAACGATGTTCTATAGAAATAAAATGCGCAAACATATTATTTGAAAATCCTTACCAGAACACTAATTCTTAATGATACTTAGCATAAGCATATGAAACATACTCAAAACTGGCAACATCCTTAGTGTCCAGTCCTTTCTGAGCAGCCCTGGTAGAGATAAAAGGAAATAGTTATCATCGATCTGTACATAATTATTAGGCGAGCCATTGAACGTGAGTTGTTTTAAGAGAAAAGTCGTATCAGAGTTCATAGAATTGACGCTACTTTACTATGTGAAAGGTACCTTAAATCTACCTCCTAATTAAGTTAACTTCACTTTTTCCTTGTCTTCGACAAGTGCATTTTACAAATGAGACTGCAATAAAAAAAAAGCTGCCTAGTTTCAGGGAACAATTTACAAGTCTCTCATATCCTCGTGTTCGAGAATGTCATTGGCCAGATAATGAAGCACAGCGGATTCGATGTCCTCGTTGTCACCGTCCATACTCGCCGCTCTTAAATAAATCGAAAAATACGTTTAGTTTTCTACACAATATGCGCACTATCAATTTATTTTCTGCTTATCATCGGATGACTTCATTTTGGTGATAAAAATAGTAAGTTATTCCGTAAGGTTTTTCAAGGGGCAGGTCAGGTGACTGCTAATTCCCTTCTATTTCCGTAAATTGTAAATAAATATTAAAAGATAATTGTACAAAAGTGTGTGTGCTGTTTTATTCAAATCATTATTGAATTGGTAATTTCACCTTTTCCCGTAGGTAGTTATGTGCTAATATATGGGACCATTTTTGTTTAAATATATCTAAGAATACGCCTTGAATAACACTTTTGACAGATAAGCGGAGGGCGTTTGACTCTTATAATGTATCAAAAAGTTGGTTTCAAAGTTACAAAAAGGTGATCGTAACCGTAGAACATCAGCATTCTGTTGAGTAGAAAATGGATTTTACTTAAAGGGAGTAAAACAGTTGTAGACATACAGCTGACTTTTCAGCTTGTTATCCATATGTTCGGAGTAATGTTGACGGAGGTATATCCTATAAACAAAAGGAAATACATCATGGCTATTTCCAAAAATAAAAAAAGGAAGCAGCAGTGGATAATCCTTAAACAAGGTGTTTGATTCTATGTGTTGCCGAAAACAGCATGGCAAAACTTTGTATAATTTTTCTTGTAAATATGTGATATTGCAATACAACATGGAGTAAATAGAAACGTTTGCGAAACTATACATAAATGAGGTTTTTACCTCCGTAGCTTTATATACAGTCACCATGGGTGAAAAGCAATATTAAACACTGTCCACAGTAAAGTATATCATGCATAAGCCACTGGGTTTTGACTTGTGCTCTTTGTTTCACTACTAGACGAGAATTATTAAATGAGTACCTGGTGGATTTCAGTGAACCTTAAACAATCATGTCAGTGATTGTTCTATCTGAGTGCATCGGCTGTACGTTAAGATAGAACTTACAATATAAATTCCCGAATTCCCGGCTCAAGCGTTGCTAAATAACTAAAGAAAAGAAGACAATAGTAACAACTCTTTTGATATATAAATTATGCATGAAAATACGCTGCGCCGTCAGAATGCAAATGCCAGGGGTTAAAAATGCCACTTATTCCCAAATTCGTCTTCCCCAATGTTCAAGCTTTTTTAAGCTTCTCCACAATATTTTAATATGTATTTTTCTAAATCAGCACAGTACTGTAGTAGCTGTTCGGTACCTACACGCTTAAATTTAACCATGGGGCTGATGCCAACATGTTTAATCATCGCCGGTGTGTTACAAGCTAGATTGTCTTACTGGAATTTTAGGGAAATTAGTAGGTATTTAATAAAAGGGGTATTTGTTTAATGCGATTTATTGTGGGGCCATGGTCGGCTATTTAGGAAATACGTCAAGCTAAAGTGGTATATGTTGTGCACAGAAACATGGAAATTGATGTCTTATACACAGAAAGTGTGCTCAACGTTCCGGATGCATCAATTAATCGGTTAAAACAACCCTAAGCATGACTGAATCAGTCATTTAATCCTAAAATACCTAATCGAATCTCTTCTTTGTAAAGTTATAATTACATAACCGATCGTTACAGATAACATTTATTGTGTTCACTGTTAGCGATTGCAAAATGCTAGTGTTTTCGGCACTGCATATTAATATCTTTTTTTCCTGATTCCGTGACAATCAATTCTTACAACAGCCTTTCACAACCATATATTTTTAGTTGACACAAAAAATGGGAAAAATTGTTTAAAATCTGTCGGAATAGCACTCACCTTGAGAGTTGCTCGGATGTCATCGCAATGTCCAAGGTCAGAAACCTGTTATAAAATTATAAAATCAGGATTAAATGAAGAACTGAATTTTTTAGGATTTTAATGCCTCCAGAAGTTTGGGATGTATAGTTCAGGTTATGTTGTGATTAAATTGTCTTATATGATAAACAGCAAATAATTGAAATATTATGATCTCTTGAAAAAAAAGTCGGAAGTTTGGTAATATCAGGATAGTTTAAACTTTTGAAAAATGAACTTTTTGGTTAAGTGCTCATTCGTAAATACAAATCGCCCGCATGCTTACAGGTTCAACAATCCACTAAAAGGCGCAGTGGCATCCAAAACGGCCGTGGCGTCGGAGTCTCTGAAAAGCGAATGGTTGTATGACACACCGTTCGCGCGCATGCAGATAACATAATTTGTTGATTGAATAACTACTGATACAGCGCATCAGAAGTAAAGACATGCATTAAAATAGCTTTTCGACTAAGAATACATAACTTGGACCTTGTAGACTACATTTGGAATAAATTTGATGAATTATTTGATATTAAATCTCAAATTTCTTTTCCGAATTTACCTGCATTTAGGTTGATTTGAAAGCTATTTGTTAGCGAAAGCCATTGTATTCGTACTAAACAACAAGGCCAACAGTAACGTTATGGTTCACAAGAGAAAAACATTTCCGATTATTTCATTAAAGCTATCCCTAAATATCGGTGCCGAAAAACGAGCAGCAAATTCCTATGTTTAAGAATATACAGTTGGCGCAATCTGCCTTTATTCACGTAGGTTAAACGACGATTCATCCAGAATTTCGGACATAATTGCTAATTAATTAAACCCATGATTATAAGAACATTGGCTATATAAAAAGTGTCTGATGGATAAGAATAAAAATCCGAAACGCTTGAAATTATTTATCACATACCTGGGTAGGAATACAATTGAAAAAATCGTTAAATTATATATAACATACCCTTGGCTGATAGCCTCAGCGGAATGGTATGCGGCAAGGACTGCAGCAACGACGGTGAAGAAGGTGAATTTCATGTTTCCTGTCAATTATTACAAAATGCGCCATGTTCAATTAGAATATCAATAGTTACGTGTTTGCTTCATTGAGTAACTAAGCATAATTTACCTTCTTTTTAATACTTTCACAAATAGTTTCTTACTGATGCTGACTTTCTGCCGTTAAATGCGATTAGGAGGCATTTTCATATAATTTTGTTACGTCTAAATTGAACTTATTCTATTAGGGTTTGAGTTTGCATTTGCGTTGCCGACTTTAACTTAGTTGAGATCACATTTTACGGATTACCTTAAAGATATCTATGTAACTCTGCGGAAAATTAAAACAACGTACCGTGAGACTTGATAGAGGTTTTTATCAGTTTATCTGTCCACCTTCGGGTATGACTGCTTTTATAGGTGTACTGACCACTCAGGAGTGTACACGTTCTATCCTAAAACTGCAATTGTTACCTGTATAGACTGCAAAGGTCACGTTTACGGATCACCTGCAAAAACTTTCTTTCACGACAGGTCAAGTTCATCAGTTTCAGGCCTGTTTGTACACGTCTGCTGAGGCAGTACGTGGCCATTTTCTACATGTACTGCATGAAGCTACTAATTTATTCTTCTGAAAAAATACTAGAAAATGCAAATACTACAAAAAATGCACTGTTTAAGGCAACTTCAGCGTCTGTGGTAGCGGCTTGTGAATTACGTGCATCGATCAGGGATAGTCTATAGTAGTCGCCAATGACCATGTAACGCTAATTTGAAAACACTATTGTGATTAACTGCGTTCATTCAATTCTGTAAAAGCTTTTTCGTTAGGAAAATCAGCGTTTTATTTAGGTTTATTAAGAGTTATAACCATTAGTTTTGGGGAAATTGGGAGGAGGCTCATATAGAAGGATTTTCCTATGCTATTACAAAAGAGCGAATCAAACCGCACGTTAAAGTTGATAA